GGCACGCTGGATGCAGTCCCCGCGACGCGGGAAGCTGAGGCGGCCGCGGGGCACGCTGGGAAGGCGTCGGGATCGGGGGGCAGTAGGCAGAGCCGCCTCTGAGGGCGGTTTGGCGGTGGCTCGGCGAGGGCACGGCTGGAGGAAGGGTCCGGGGGCAGAACTGGAGGGTGCTGCAACAAACCCGCAATCCCTCCCCTGGGGGGGGATGGCAGATGGGGTGTCTCTACAGCCTCTCTCTGCAAGCGGGAGCAGCCACGCCTTGCCCTCTGTCAGGCAACTTGCGATGGCAGGGTTCCTCTCACGCTCTTGAGGGCACCTCTTTCTGGTTTTCCATCTTGTCTTTACCTGTATTGGGGTTTCCCTTGTTTCTCCCATTCTTAAACTGACCTTTGATACCTGTCAGCTGGTCCTGCCTGCAGGTCCCACCAAGTGCTGGCAGTAATCTCCAGTTAAGCCACAGCTAAAATCAAAGTGCTGTTTATCCTAATGACAGAAACAGCCACTGAAGAAAAATGTTCTTAAACCTGCAAACATTACATACAGCCACTGTACCCACACACGCAATTTGTTCTGCAAGGCCTTTTTAACCTCTTCAGAGACTGGGTAGCTCTGCTGAAGAACTCATCATGAATTTCTGCATTTTTTTCCATCTCCCTTCAAAACCTCTGAACAACTCCCAGATGACAGCTGAGGAGCTGCTCCTGCATTCCTTCCTTTCTAGCTCCTTTTCTCTGTGTCTTTCCCTGTAATTTACTCTAAGAATATACTAGGTTAAATTTCCCCCGATCAGCTCAACGTTGAGTATTAAGAAATGGCTAAAGCTGGTATGGCTGTGGCTCCAGGCCAAGCAGAAGGCAAAGCTGAGGTAGATGGACTGATTTAGCTTTTGTTTCTTAGTTTGGAAATGAGCATTGCTGCAAACAACCGTAATACTCAGCTTGGCTATTCAAAATTAGCAGTATAGGCAGGATTTGCCCTATATTATTAACTCCTTTTTGCTGCCGTGACCAAATAGACGAAGAACATCATGCTCAACATTACGAGAAACCTCTTGGGAAGACAAAGTTCAGAAACCCCCCAAATAAATTACGGTCTGGTACTTGGTAAATACTTGATCTCGCTGTGCAGAAGCAACAGAATCTGCAGCTGTTACTGAAATGCTTTTGCAGACAGGAGGAAATATATCTGTAATAGACACCGACACCCCTAACTCACCAATCCTTGTCACCATTACTCTATCAGGAGAGAAATGCAATTCTTTCCTTCCTATCAAAAAGCAACTCCCAACCAGCCGCTTTATTTCAGTCCGATTTTTGCAGTGCTGTACAGGTACAGCTTGCTGAACAGAGATGTCTTTAGAACCAGGAGGCTGTGCTCTCATGGGCTCACTCTGTTACGGTGCAGGGCAAGCCTACCTTTTACTAACCCACCCCATGAAAGGGAAACCTTAGAGGACCCGTTTTGGGGAAGCTGTGCCACCAACACCTCTGGCTTGGAGCTTCCTTACAGCTCCAATTCCACAAGCCCATTAACGGTACTTCACTGACCAAGGTGCAGTGAAGGCAAAGTAAGGACAACCCCGAACCCTACAGCCTTTCAATCATGTTCCCAAGAAAGGAATGCCCCAATACAAGCACCTCCGCTGCCCCTCCCACACTGCCATGGCTGTCTTTTAACCTTGACTACAGTGGCCCTCAGTAAGACAAAGAAAACACCCTTTGCTCTCGCCTGTTGGATGATGCAAACCCACTTGCTGACCTTTCTGGGTGAACATTTTTCTAGTGTGAATGGGCCAGCTATGATCTCACTACCTTGTCAATGAAGAGGAAGTGGGGAAAGCCTTTTCAGTGCTTAATCAAAAGAGGGCTTTTATGCAGCCTGACATCAGGGGAAAACACAAGACGGCTTTCCAACCGCACTGCAGGAACAGCTGAGAAGGCTCTCCAAAACCGCTCCCCCTACCTTTCCAGCGACCCTCGCTCTGGGCCAGCTACTTAATGGCATGAGCAGACATTCAGCTCTGAACATAGGATTGGCAAAAGGCTCATAAAACCATCAATTATATCAAAGCTACAAGAGGATCTGACTCTGGAGGGCATAAATATGGATTCTGTTCGGAGATTTCTGGTGTGACAGTGGGGTCAGCCTACAACCTTTACAATGAACATCCTGTTCCTGCTTGACCTCTTGTCCTTTTTTTTCCCCTCTACTTAGTAACTGTTTGGAGCAGCCTTGGAGCTTGGAAAAAAAAAAAGTCCTCCAAAGCTGGCTGACGTATATTGATATTGCTGGTGGCAATATATTTACACAGCCACAAAAACCAGCTGCTCAGCTGAGCCTACTTTTAGCTTGCGCCCTACTAAAATGAATGCAAATCTAAAAGCACTAAAACCATACCAGCAGACTGAATGAGCAACTAAGGTTTCTTTAACGTGGTGGTGCGCTGGGGAAGCAGCCCCAGCAATGACATTCTGCAAAGCTGCTGCCATTAGTGGAGTTTGCAACTTCTAGGGAACGCTCGGTGTCCCCAGCAGCAGGGGACTTCGACAGCCAAACCTCTCTCTCTCTCTCTCTCTCTCTCTGATCTGACCCATCACTGCAGGGGTAGGAAACAAGCACAGGCTTGCAATGTCATACACAAGTACCAACAGCAAGCTCACAACATACAGCTCAACTCTTTGCTGGGCATCTCCAGCTGCTTTGTATGTATTAGCTGCTACACAAAATTAACTGGAAGCTGTATCAAACCCAAAGGCAACAGCACTAGATATTATAACCCTGAGGCACTTTACTGTTTAGGTCCTACTCTGAATGGCTTAGAATTGTAGTGCTTCAACTTCCCCAGTTTGTTCTCAGCCCTCAAATGATTATTGATCCCAATTTTTTCCTCATTTTTAATTGTTTCTGCAAAGTGTATCCCCCAAAAGAAGGGCAGCAAGCAAGTGTAAAGTGTAATTATTTTTTGAAAGACTGAGGAAATCTTTTCAGATGTTTCTCCAGCTTATTTGGTGTGAAAACATTTTTCAGATGTTCAGAAATGGAAAAGAAAAAGAAATCCTGCTCAAATGCATGCCTGTGTGTAGGAAAAACAATTAACTGGCTTAAATGCTGTATTTTGTGTTTAGGACGTACAGCGCTACGCGGGTTAACATTACCTTTCTCAATAAGAAATCCACTGCAAGTACAGTGATCAGTATGTTGTGCTGGGCAATTTTATGTTCAAGAATGTGTTGGGTTTTTTTTAAATTCTGCTCTTAAAATACTCAGGGCAACAAGAACTCGGAGTCTTAACAATATAAATGCTAAGTGTAAGTCTAATCTGCTACATGCAGATGTAAATCAACATTACTTGTTTAAATACTGATAAAAATTAGAACACGGTGAAGCCAAATGAACATAAGAAATATTTCACGTAATATTTACTGGAAAATTGCAACAGGGATTTTGTCTAATGAGTAAATACAGCATGAAGCCGTTGAGTCTTCTATCCCTGGGGTAAGATAATTTGAAACACATTTTTTCAGATCAAAAGTGTTATGTTGACAAATATAAAAGCCCAATTTAGGCTGCATAATATTTAATTAAGAAAACAGCATTCCATACTGTGATTTATTTATTTTTTTAAGTCCAATGCCCCTTGAGTCATTTTATCTTCTTAGCTTTAAGATTTGTACTGTGCGAGATCATGGGAAAGACACAATCAACTTTGTTTTCATTACAAAAGAAGAAAAACCTAAAGGGAATCCTGTGAAAATCAAATCCAAACCCAAGATTTTCCAATGATCATGTAACTTGAAAAGGCCATCTGCTCACTCAAAATGGAGAGGAGCATTGTATCTGATCCTCCGGCTATGAGGATGGATAATAAAGATCCAGGTCATACAGAACAGCCACAAGAATACCTGGACTTTTTAGACTTAGGAGGACCCTCTTCGGGCTCTGCAGCCACGATTTGCTCACCTTGACACTTCTGTGATGTATCCGCGATGGCTGGCATTTCACACTGCTGGTGTTGCAACAGCCAGTGCAACGTTTCACCTCCACGCAGGGTGGCCATATCAGGAAGTTGGCAGAGGTCGGATCAATCTGACTCCGAGGTATCTCGTATATAACCGTCCGTGTTTTGCAGACAGCCGGGATGGCTTCCTCTGCGAACACAAGAAATTCACACTGCCAGGTGAGCAGCTGCTCTCACCTCAGAGCACCCAGATACTTTACACCATCGATTTGAGCGGCACCCTTAGCTGGCGGGTTGAGCTGATGTTCTCGGTTCCCATTGCTTACTGACAAGCCGGTGCTGAGTACTGTTTGCCTACCACTAAGCTGTGTGTGCTAGCCTAGAGAGAAGCTTGACTCACTCCCAAAAGCCCAGCCCTAAAGCGAGGGTTTACAATGGCCTGGCTCCCAACATAGCTCAGAGCACATACCATTATCTAAGACAATTCTGGCTCTTTAGAAGTGACAGCAAGCCAGGGGCTTCTCCAGATTAGATGATCTGCTGTTATTTTACAATATTTGGGCCACCGTTGCACACACATACTATCACACAAACATATAATACCTGGCAAATACCACCACAGAAGTTGCACTGAGGATATCTGTATCACACCCAAATTTGCTGAGCTGGCAAACAACCTATGCCAGCTTGAAACTTCTGAGTCTCGGGTTTCCACCTCCAAAACCTTAACAACCCCTCATCAGGGAGCCTGGTCCACCTGCCATCCCAAAGGGCAACTGCCATTTTTTGAATGAAGTTATCAAAGCTTTGTACATGCTGGGTTTTATTTAATGAGTTATTTTTTGAATAAGGCAAAACCACAAGAGTAGCATGACCGAAGAACCTGCAGTGTAATTTTCAGCTAAACCAATATCCTGCTGGGCTCAGGTAAGATGAGCTTGCAGACAACCTTTTCAGCCACATGAAGATCAGAAAGAGTAGCTCCATGCTGCGGCATGATGCTGCCATGAAAAATCCAAACCATGTATCGTTCTCAACCTAGGGACTCCCTAAGAAGTCAAGGTGACAATTCAAAATGGTCCAGAAAATAATAGCAATTGCAGGGACAACTTGTTTGATAGTAAGTTCTCAGAAGGCAGCTTAGATTTTTTTGCCTTACAGTGGAAGCAGTGATAGCTTTGGGTTAGATGTGTCAGGGAACTGGAATACTGCCTGCACTTCTTCAGTTACTTCCGAAGTACAAGAAGTTCAGGCCTGGCCTGTGCCCATAACATGAAAATCTAGGCTTAGTTTTGAAAGAGGTGCATTTCAGCCAGCTAAATAGAGTGAAAATTCTTCTTCTCAGTCCCCAATGCCATGAACTCAAGAAAATTAACGGATCCAGTACTGTAAGATAGCTGGCAACTCCTACAAGTTATTGAGCGTACCCAGTTCCCACTGACTTGCATGGGGAGGCATTCAACACCTTGCAGAGTAAGGTGCCAAGCGTAGCAGACTGTTTCAGAACCACTGTTCTCTAGAGGCATTCAATGTGACGAGCGCGCTTGCCAATTCACACTGCAAATCCATGCTGACAGCATGCTGTGCTATCTACTGGGTAGCACCGTAGCTTAAAGTACAAATATATTGACTCTGAATTACCTATAATAGATAAGATCATGGATCTTTTCCACAGTCAAATGGAATAGTGAAACACTCAGATCTAATCAGATGAACAAGCATTGCATACAAATCCTATTCTAAAATTCTTTAACATCTCTTGAAATTTGTATTTGGGCTTTGTTGGATCGCCATCATTATTGTTTAATAAGAAAAAAATCCCCTGCAAACATGCCTGGTGCCCTACGCAATGACGGAAATCAATGCCCCAGCGTTTCAGTCAATGGCTTTTAATTTTTTGGATAAACTGTTTTTTTCTTTTGAATAAAGAGTCAAGCTGTTTCCTTTTGTGGAGCTTCTGTACTGAAAACTCTACCAACTGTTGATGTTTTTTAAAGCACACTGCTGTAGTTGTTCCCCACACTATGAATTATACATTGAATATCACAGCATTTTCTAACCAAGGTCTAGCTTTCTAACATGCTGCAACAAGAAAGTGAATGTAAAGAATTTGCGCTTGTCTGTCTCCTATGGACATCCTCCAGAAGACAGCTTCTCAGGCAACGGCTCGTTTTGTGCAAAAAGAAAGGCAGAAACTAGAAATGGCCTTTCTCCTTTGTGCGTGTCACATTTTTCCAGCGAAATGTCCTGCTTGGCTGACCAAAAGCACCCCCTCTGTTTTTACTCCCCAAGTACAAATAGCTTGTTTCTTACCAATGCTTCTTTTTCTGCGAATGGGCACAGGACGATTCTCTTGCACATGTTTAGCAGAATGAACACTATAAGATCTCAAGTTTGTTTCTGAAACATCATCATATCCTAAAACAGGAAACAAAATATTAAACCTCAGCTACGTTATTCCATCGTTGTCGCTACAGTGCTGTTCCATACATATAAATCTGTGCTGTACGTGTGCACAAGGCCAAATCCTGCTGCAATTAGTCTAATGTAACTCCTGCCAATGCAATTGCAAGGGCGTAAGGCAGGGAAGACATAGATGTTAGATGTCATGTATAAGCATGCGCAATTTAATTCTAATATCCGTTTTACTGAAAGCCCCCAGAAGCAGTGCACACTCTGTGACACAAAACCATATCTAAAGTAAAACAGTTGCATTTTTATGTGAAAGGCATAATAAAGCTTTTCTTACTGGAAAGGTGTAGAAATAAGAACAATAATATTTCACGTGAAATGTTTCTTGCAAGAAGTTTTTTGAAGTTCTGGCATGAAGCTACAGTAGAAAATATGGTATTACACACCCAACAACAACAATGCTGCCTCTGTAAATTTTCTCTTGCTTGGTTTTCAGGGCAGTACTAGGACAGAATCAAAAGCAAAAAGTAACTAGCATGGATTTCCTTTTAGCCTCTCTGTTGCAGAACAAATCCCCTGTGAAGTATCCTAACCTTTGGAGGGGCATCTGAAGCTACTGCAAACTCTGGGACTCCATCCAGGCTTGTCTTGTTCCCTAAATAAGCCTACCACATGGGTTAAAGGGCCATGAGAAAAAGCAAAGATGGAAAACTTGGCATTTCATTTATCATAAAAAACAACAAAATAACTGCTCCAACTATTTGGTTTTGTTAAGTGAAGCAGTCCAGGTCATGTCCCATGCAGTGGGGTTCTGAAAACGACAAGCACAATCTGCAAACAGGGGATCAGGAAGATGTAAGCAAACTGAGAACTGCATACAGATTCCAGTACACCAAAACTAAGATTTTTAGCACTCTGCTGCTTGGAGTGCCCTCTGTAACATCGCTGGAGAGTTTCAAGGTTTCACTGCTGGCGCCAAAGAAAACTATGATGTACACTAAAAAATGTAAATGGTTATTACACAGTACTCAATTACCTTCTCTACATGCTACCAACGTCCTACACTCCTCTGTCTTCTGCACTGTTACGCTCCCTGCTTCCAGTTCATTTTGCATCCACAGTTGACTGTGACTCTGGAATTTGTTTTATTCTCAGTTTTATTAGTAATGCACATAAGGGTCTGCTCTACAAACCAACCAACTCCTTTTCTCCTCCCTCCAAGAAATCCTGCCCTAAAGAGCCTGCAGCTGGTGAAACCAACCGCAGAGCCTGGTAAGACGTGAAGACAGTGGTACCTTCAGCACCTTAGAAAGAGCTCTGCGTCCCCAGGTCTATCTTCATTCCTTGGAAAATACTATCATAGGTAGTTAAGAGAAGATGAAATGGGAGGTCCGAGCGGCAGTGCCAGGATCACCCACTGGTCCTGTCTATCTTCCTAATCAGCTGCACAGATCCTTGTCTGAAGTAAGTCAGTGTGAAATCCAGACTCTCAATTTACCGAAATAAGTTGGCTCCTACTTCCTATGTAGAGTGCTTGTTTCCCATTGATTTCGATGGGAAATTTCGGAACCTGATTAGCTGATAGTGGGCCTTATTTGCAGTCCCAGTCCTGTAATGTAACACAGCAATGACTAATAGATTTTATTTCTGCTTTTATTGTACCCCATACTCCAGGAAATTCATCAGTGGGATAAATAAAATGGCTTGCCTGAGACCCCAAGGAAGTTTGCGACTGAGCTGGGGAGCAGAGCCAGGTCTCCTGCATCCCAATCCAATGGCACCAGGCCATCCACCTGATCCCAAATGGTGTTATGCAAAATGAGGACCCGTTCTGATGTTCCTCCAGCCCTCTTCTGCTTCCTAACGCTCAGCCACCCAACACCTTCATGCTGACCTCTTTTTTGGCAGCTTCCAGTTGTCGCAACCTCTCCCTCAATTTGAGGCAACGAAGTGATACTCAAAAGCAAGCAGCATGAATTCTGCTCAGTGTAAGATCCAAGCTAGGCTCAGAGCAAGAAGCATCTCTGTCTGCATGCAAACAGTGTTTAAAAAAGATTAAACACAAAACTAATGCCTTTAATCCGAACTGCTTGGTGGGCACAGACATCTTGCTGAAAAAAGAAACCATCGATGATGCCAGCTGTACGGCAGGCCTGAGCCACAGGTCCTAATCCCACATTCAACACGCTGGCATAGCTCCCTTCTAACATGACTGATTTCTTGCTGTCTTGTTTAAAGCAACTGGTAAGACTAAAGGAATAGTATGATCAGCTAACCAATATGTTAAGCCATGTGCTTATATATAACTGCTCAACTCAGCTGCAATTAGCCATATTCTATCATCATGTTTATAAAGCAAAATGACATGTCGAGGAGCATGTGTTGCTTATAAGATGATTTCTAAGGTGAAGAAGGCCTCTGGCTCATACTGTATCTCACTGTCTCGCTACATATCTTAGGCATGTATATCATTTCAGAAGTTCATGCCTTGCTGGGGGGGGTTAAAAAAAGAGATCTACACAGCTAGCACAGCAGACTGCAAAACAAGTTCCAGTCAAACCTCAATGCATTATGCAACACAAATTATATTATTTCTATTGACACAGCATCAATGTGCTTTTTTTTTTAATAAACAGAATTATGGAGTGCATGGCTGGTGCCAGAAGACACTATAATGCTAAAGGCACTTGGTGTCCCCCTGATCCCCACAGGCATTTGGAAGGAATTCCACTGCCCAGTGAAGTCAATGGGAAAATCACCGCACTTCAAGCAATCCGGAAGTCAACAGGAGTCCTGCCTGAGCAGGACTGAAAAATCAGAAAGTCAGCTTTGAAACCCACACTTGACTCTGGATGTGTGGCCAGAAGACTTTCTTTTATTTCATGGAAACAACGATGCTACGGTAATTACAAATAGCACTCTCTAGTTTGACTTTAAAGAAGCCTGACACCTAATTTACCATCCGGCAAAAGGATTCCCAAACGAATCACATCAGGATTTGCATCAATTTCCCCCCCCCAATGTACGGACTTAGGAGCATGAAGTTGCAGGATAAGGTGTTTCAGCTCTTAGCAAAGGAAATGGGAGTTTATGGGTGCTTAGCGCCTCACAAAATGAGGCTTAGAGCAGAAAGCTTAGAAACGGGTGGTTCTTAGTTTAGAAATTGAACACTGCTTGTCACTAAGTGAAGATGGAGGATGCTGCATGGAGCCAGATTAATGCAGCTCTCTTTTAACGTTTTAATAATAAAAAAATGTTTTCGTGGCAGCCGATCAAGGAATTTCTCTGTAATCTTTTATGTACTGACAACATATCAATGATGGGTAGAAAAACTCTCGCAATTAGCCTTGGTCAATCCATTAGTGTAGCTGAAATTGTTCTTTTTTGTCGAACTGGCATTTTTCCACTGGGTCATAGAGTATAAATCACAGAGCTCCTGCGACATTCTGCCAATATGTGATTACTCTTCTCCCTAAATAAGCATGTGGAAAGTATCCTAAGACTACTGTTATTTTATATTTAGCAATTTATACTTTCACATTGCCATCTCCTTCCCAAACAATTTATGTGAGGTACAATCTCCAATATACGCAGTCTTAACACAAACCCTTCTAGATGTCACTTAGATGTGCATCCAAAAAGTATAGGTCCAAGACTTCTAGTACCAACAGCAGCAGCTTAGGAAAATTCTCATTATCTCTTTTTTCAGGAATCCAATGTAAGGTACAATAAACTGAAATGGTCTGTCTTACAAATCGGTCCTAGAGCCAGAAAGCCCAAGGCAACGTCAACCTGTTTGTTTGATCTTCTTTCTGGCTGATGCAAAGTATGCCCTTCTGACATCCAACTGCAGAGATAGATGTCATTAAGTTTTCAACTTTGATCTATTAAAGGAAATGTAAGTAGCAGCCTGCAAGATCCTGTTTTGTTTAGGTTTTTTCCCCTTTACCTAGGTGCGATCAACCAACTGTAAGGGAGGAGGAGGATTGCCTCTATCACCTGTCTCAGGGAAAACACAGGACACACGGCAGATGCCCGCCTCTCATAATGTTTAAGAGGTGCAAGGAAAGCTAACACATTGCACTGTAACATCCTTAATTTGAGCGCCACACCAAAAGCCACAAAGTCAACAGAAGATTTTCCAATCGATTGAGCTCTGCAGCAATCCTAACACTTTTCCATGAAAGTATACTGTTAATTTAGAACGTTTCTCCACTTAACAAAAGCTGCTCTGCTAGTTCTTAATCACAGGCCGTTAAATTCACATGGCCTAAGGTGACCCTGTGGTTGATGCCCTTAAACCATGCAAAGAAGCACGCTCAGCCCTGCCGTTTCCCCACGCAGGGAGATGACTGGGGGAAAATCTGTTCCCAGCGGGAGGCAAACATAATAGGTGATGAAATGAACTCTACCTCCCACAGGACAGATGGGAGAGGTGAAGCGCGAGGAGAAAAACCACGCTGCTAAGCCAAAGAGAACTTCACAGGCAGAATATAGGAAATGCCCCCGTTTCGGTGATTTAGTCTGTTAGTAGTAAAACTGTACTCTGCACGCTACAGCTGCCTACTTCCTGGGATCATGCACGCTTTCTGTTTTAAATAGGGTCAGACTCTGCTCTCCGTCACGCCAATGAAATTCCGTTGCTGACTATGGATCCCAATCATAGCAAATTAATTTAAGACCCTGTTTTCTGATATAAACAGAGATTTTCCATGTTGCCTTTACAGGGATACCTCTTTGAATCGGACACGCAGCACTGGGCTCTGACAAATCGGCCTTGATTTTCTTTTTTGAATACAATGATAAGCTCCATGTTGGGTAGTGTTTTTCTTTAAGTAATATGCCAGATGGTCTGGGGGTGTGGTTTCTAATTTTATGAAGGGGGTTATCAGTCATCTCTGCGCTACAATATAGAGACCAAATCTGTCAGAATAGAAGAAAAACCTGCCCACTCTGACTTACAAAACTTACTTTTCCATTTAAAAATATATGCTTTGCATTGCAGGAGAGAAAATGACTGTTCTTCCTTCATTTTCCACAGATTCTGCCTTGTTACTCAGGAATATCAGACATTTTCTGCGTGCATGCCTGATCCTGCAAACTCTTCCCTTACAAGATCATTCTTAATTCTCGAGTCCACCCACTGAGTTTAAACAGGGCTACTCACACGCAGGAGGACTGGCAATACCATGCACTAAAATGAGGGAGAAAATAATCACTGGAGTGTTTTTATTCTGAGCCTCAGTTTAAATCAGTATATGCTACAAAATAGAAAATATATCTACTGTACAAGCCCTCACTGAACTAGCCCTTCCCTAAATGCAATTACAGCCCTAAGGAAATACATTTCAGAAATACCATCTTACCAGTGACAACTAGAAAACATTCGATTTGCTAATCCAAGCCAATACTAAATATAGTAAACAGGCACAATCCTGTTTACTGAAGAAAACATGGGAATTTCAATGATCGATTAGTCACTCTGATAAACCCTTAGTAAGAATTACTGACGACAGTAAACACTGCAGGACTGTGCCCAGAAAATGTAAATGCGGGTAGTAAAGACCGGTTACTCTCTATGAAGATCCAATCCTGCCTGTGCAGCTCAGAAAAGGAGCACACGAGCAAGAACAGGGTGAAAGGCTGAATACTTTGTTTTTATTTTTTAATATTGTTTGAGTTCATGTCTTAAGGCATCACTGTTTCATGTTGAAATAGTAAAATATTTATGTGTCTTGTTTCTCTAATGGTTTCTAAACTGACAAATTGCATGAAAACAGCAAAATGAAATGGTAAACTTGTGGCTGACCTCTTCAATTTTTGGTCATGCATACTCTGGTTAATATTTGCCACGAGTTAAATAATTATTTTCTGAAATAAATTTCTCTCCTCTGCTACATCTACTAATTTATTCAGCTCCCGCCCTTGTCCCACTTCTCTGCTTGATTCTCTTGCAATGGAGCCATGTGAACTTTTGCTCTCCTTGTAAGCGGTATTTAAAAACGAAGCATGTGCTTGTTACACTGGGGTATTTGAAAAAATAATGTATTCTGGTAGCTATAGAATACTGACTCAAACGCAGAAGCAGCACGCAGTGCTTTAAAATGCTAGCGCTCAGATCCAGCCCTTCTGCAACAGCAGCCAAGCCTTCCACCGAGTTCACTGGGAAAAAGATTTTAGCGGTAGTGCACTTGTCTGGTCCAAAACAGTCTTCAGTGGGGAAATATGTATTGCATACCCCTTCCTGTTGTGAAAGCTTCTTTAATTGCAGTGATAAGCAATAATGATGAAGCACTGCTCTCCAAAAATATTAAACCGATGCCAACCAATCTGGTAATTAGTAATTAGCCTCTGTGGTAAAGTATTGTGCAAGAGAGAAATATTCCCATTTTCAGCGTAATGGGAAACCATTTGCTCCCTAATCACATGAAAATTGAAAGCTATGTCTGTAAAATACGTTCCTCGTGCATTCTTGCTCATTAATACAGCACTATACAAAAAGCAGTGAGTTAAACTCTAGAAGGATCCTGCAACACTGAATGAAGGTGATTGAACCTGGCACAGACTTTACAAAAATACACAGCATATGGTTTAAAAGGAGATGGCCCGGTACCAACGCAAGCAAGAACTCATTCATTTTTCTCCATGTTTGCTCTTCAGAAAGATGCAGGTTTCCCTCAGGCACATCAAAGGTGCCGGGTTTATTCTCTCTCAACTAAGGGAAGAAATCACCAGGAACAAAGTGCATCAAGTGAAACCAAATGATAAGAAACCCAGTAATACAGTATTTCTAGATCTGATTTACTGCTGCAACGATCTGTTTGAACTGCACGTTCTCACTACACCCATTTGCATGCCTAATGAAGCAGAAAATAACCCTGCACTATTTTCTTTTGGAAAAAAGTGTATTTTTACGGGTAAGCTTCATACGCAGGTTCCTGTTTAAAATCAGCGCGGACAGTTTATTTTCCTTTTAATAAAGCCCAGCGCTTGAAGAGACATTACTTCATTCATAAATATTGTTTCAAATATTTTAAATACCTCTAGGACAGTAGTTTAAAGATAACAGAGCAATGCAAGACCAACAACAAACCTTATGGAAATTCTTCTCCGCTGAGAGACAGAGAGGTCTGAAAACACAGAGGGTCACTAGGTCCCTCTCCACCCTGAACCCCCCGAAGTTTTAATTCCCGGTCGGCCCCCTGGCTGCCGCCTCCCTTTGAAATAAAGCTCCCCCGCCCAGGGCAGCCTGGCTCTTGAGGCTGGGTCTCGTCCCCGAGGCGGGGCAGCCCGGGCCGCGCCGCCGGAGCGGCGAGAGGTGTACGGGGCGCTA